CTCTCCCTACCCGTTGCGCTCTGCTACCACGTTTCAGAATGACTCCATACATAAATGTAAAGACGCTTCCACGTTTCCTCGCGATAGCATGTGAAACGACCATGCGGGGATAAAACCCTCCATAACTCCGTTCAGAGAATCGTTCTGCAAATTTTGAAGGTAGATTTGAGTTCACTGTCCCAAGACGCGTACAACGGTGTGCAGCTCATTGGAAATGGCCAGGCTGACCTGATTGACCTTTCCTGGTGAGTGCCCTGGTGGCGTAACGGATAGCGCACTCGCCCGGAAAGCGTGAGGTGCGGGTTCGACTCCCGCCTGGGGCACGACTTTTGCCCATAACTCAGCATTCTTGTGATAACATTCGGAACGCGAACTGCGGCGTAAAACAGCAGTTATCATAAAACAAAAACTTCAAAGGCAGACAGTGAATTGTGGCCCGCGGATTAGAACGGCATCGGGTTGGTCTTGCGCCAAAAATGGGAAAAATCAGCAATCGAAAAACTTTTTCTCGAGGTCAAGGCAAATACGGCTTCCGCACAACGATGCTCCCAGGGCACCCAGGGCTCCCAGTATCTCAGCGTTCGTTTCCAGGAATCTGTTCACAGCCTAAGCTGGTCCAACTACTGTAGACGCTCATGAGATTGTTGAGCTGGATCACCTTCTCGACGATCTAGGCAGTGGGAAGGTTTGTACTTCTCATAAAGCATCACAGAAATATTGACCCTCTGGTCTTCCGGTGCGACGTGAACACAGCTGGTTGAAGCATAGGCGAAGTGTCTTTTTCCCCCTCCCTGCATAATTGTGGTTTACACATGGGCTGACTCACCCGTCCGTTTTGCTCGATGATCTCACCACCGCTTTGATCATGACCAGCAAGTAATCCGCCAATCATAACGAAATCGGCTCCTGAATCAGGTTACCGTTTCGTGCACCTAGAAATCCGTTTAAGGTATCAAACCTGCTCCGAATGCTTTTGCCACATCGCCAGGATTTGTGCATCCACCGTCGCTCATCACATGTCCACCAAGGCCATGGGCAGCGTCTGCACATTCCAGAACCTTAAGAAGCTATGCTGCGCTACGACTTGTATGAACAGGCGGCGCTGTTCCGCTTGGAGGGGATATTTTAATAAACTATTTCGAGCTACATTTTCTCAACCTTACCGCGCTCAGTTGTGGATAACCGACTCCTGCCTTCTTCCGGGTTGTGCAGACTGATCCGGGACCGATTCCTACCTAGTAAATTATTAAGTAACTCTCAAAAAATAAATCCAATTTCAGAAACAACATGCAAACCGCTAGGTAGCTTTCCAGTGAGACACCTTAATGATATCAGCTCCTGAGAGCAGCAGCTCTTCCACCATCTCACACGTGACAACGTTCCCAGCCATTATCGTGTGCCTGAAACACTGAAATATGAAAAATGATTGATTTCTTCGACTTTTTCAGTTTTTTTCTTCCAGTTATGCCTCACATCGCTCAGAAGTGCAAGTGGGCGATTTCTGATTAACCGCGATCTTGCTGAGAACTGAGTCATTGGCGCTTTCAGGTTGACCACTAATCACCTGCGACTTTCTGAGGGAATCGCAAGTGGGCTCCAAAAGAAAACAATTTCCACAAATTCTTCTGACCAGTTGCGGAACCAAGATAAGCCCTTAATTCTCTCTGAAGCTGCCAAAAAACGCTCAAAGATGTTATCTTGAAGAATGCTTAGTTATGGGCAAAAGTCGAACCCCAGGCGGGAGTCGAACCCGCACCTCACGCTTTCCGGGCGAGTGCGCTATCCGTTACGCCACCAGGGCCGCTTTACCCTCTCAGCTTAACGGCTTATGCCGTAGCCTTACAGCACTCACACGTTTAACATCACCATAAAACAGCTCAAAGATGTGGTTACGCTCGCCGTAGTGGCAAGGCTGGACATGCCTCTGCGCCTTCTTGACCAGGGCACATCCTTGTTGGGGACAGGGGGGTCATATTTCGCTCTATTTTCCTTTTCCTTTTTCCGTTTCACAAGTGCTTTTTACCCCCCTCCGTCCCTCCAACCGCTCGACAGCTCGACTAGATGAGGAGGAAGGAATCAGGAGGAAGGGGGTTGTTCGTACGGACCCGACCAAAATCCCAACCAATGATGTGCCCTGTTCTTAGCGAATGCGCTGCCCTTCTTAGCCTAACATTGCTCCTTTCTCAATGGTGCGTTCAGAAAAAGACCATTGGATGAAGCAATATTAGGTCAAGCTCCGCCCACAGGACGATTGTGAAATAA